AATCTGACTGGATGCTGTTCTAAGCCACTGTTAGAGTGGCTGTTCTGAGTTTTGGGGTGGTTTGCTATGCAACCATCAAAAGCTGATACAACTGGCAGGGAAGTTACTACCAAGTGGATTTTACAGATGAACAGACAGAGGCTCAAAGAGTTTATGAGACATGTCCAAATCCACATGCCCAGCTTGGGACTATAACCCAGTGCATTTAAGTTTGGGTCTCTGGTCACGGTCCACCAAGCTCTTTTATTTGCTCTCCTTATGCAGTTGTCCTGAAACTAGATGAAGTACCCAGAGACCTTCACTAATAGCTGTCAGAGATTTTCATCACTTTCAGAACAAGTAACTGGGTTCTTCTGATCGCACACACCTCTTTTCTTGGAGTATGGTGTGGGTCTGCAGGTGCAAGAAGGTGAAGGGCAGCCAGATTTAGGGCAGAGTTATTTCCTTATTACCTCCCTGTCTTCCTTCTGGGGAACATCCCTCTCCCTGTGCCCCTCATGAGGGCTCAAGCACCCAGGATGGCAACAATGATGATGGTTAGACAGGGCTATAAAAACCCCAGCAGCAGCCCTTTGGGAGGGTTGCATTTCAAGGGTGGTATCTCAGAGGGTCTCTGGAGCAGCAGCAGTAGCACAGGACATTTGATTTCTATTATTTTGGCCATGGAGAAATGGATACATTTTGATTTGCAAGCATCAGAGGGAATTCATTCTGTGGCTGTAAGTGTGCCCTGCTCAGAAGCACCTGGCTCTGCCTTGGTCTTGGCTCTTTACTATGCTTGCAAGTATATGTCTGTGGATGCCATCATCTGTCTTGTGCATCTGAAGTTCAACAGGAAGCCCATACTCACCTTGCCTTCCTGGGGTCTTCAAGGGTGCCCTGCTCTGTGATCATGTACTCTGGGGCATCAGCCCTAAGCGCCTTATCCATGGTGGCTATCTAGCTGGTAGCTTTCCCTGCCTGGACGCCAACCTGGTCTACACCCTTCTCCTTGGGCAAACAGTGGACATGCATCTCTGCCTCCAGGGTCTCTTGCCAGGTTCTGCCAGTGAGCCTGGGGGCCAGCCGCTATGAATCGTGCAGGAAGAAGGAAGAAAGAGGGCCAAGCTCATTCTTGAGTCTGCCCTTCAGTCCCTTCCAACCACTTCAAATACTTAAACTCCCCATGTTCTGGGGGAAGTAATGGATTTAAAAATGGTATCAGGCCAGTGTCCATGCCAGGGAGAAGCTGACCCCCACCTGTGCCAGTACTAGGAGGCCAGAAGCTGGGCAGAGAGCAGGAGAGAGGGCAGGGCTCATGCTGCTGCTGTTGCTACACTTGTCCCTCATCCCTGGGAACCAGGTTTCCTAATGAGCCAGATATAGGAGGGAACACAAAGAGGGCCATTTTAGTCTTTGTTACTATCACATCTGCAAACTCATTCTCTCTTGCTTAGCTCTGTCCTATCCCCAAATGAAACCTGGAAAATTTGTGTGGCTTGTCTGGTTGCTTCTCCTGGGGGCTGCCAGGCCCAGGCCATTTTGCTGTTTCTCACATCACTGCCTCCTCATTCTCTGGCTGCCATCTGTGACCCCCTGTGCGGTTGCCACAGGCCAGAGAGGAGAGGCTGAAAGTCCTTCTTGACTCTTCTTTTGGGTGCCCACTGGACTTGGTGGAGGCCCAAATGCTGACCCTGTTTTTATGGAGGTGCTTTTGTGGGTCTTGGGACCTCCCCACAGCTCACTGTCTCCGCCCTTAGTTCCCTGGACAGAGGTGGTGGCATCCTAATCTGATGTCTTGTGATCAGCCTTCTGGCTCGGCCTCTTGGGTTTACCCTCATTGTAGGCAGAGTCCTCCTGAAGACAGCCCAGCTTAGGCCTCATCCCAGGGTTCACTCCTGGTGCTCAGAAAGCATGCATGCATAGCTCTTAGCACTGCATAATCCTCCATGGCTGTGAGGACTTGGGAGCTGGCCAGCTGAGGCTGGCCAGCTCCTCAGCTTCAGAGCCTTGGGGAAGACAGTGGGTACTAGTCTCTAAGGCCCTCAAGCCCCAAAGATGCCCCACATCTCTTAGCTCAATGTGAGGAGGGAAACCTCTTCCCTTTGCCCAGGGAAGATTGAGGCAAAATGCAGATACTGACAACTCACTAAAAAACAGTCTTTTTTGAACTTCTGAACCCCAAGGGGAGGTGGGAGCTCCATGGCAGGGGAGCCTCTCCTGGAGGGAGAGAACATACTGGTATTCTTGTTAGCTTGACCATATGAGAGTGGTCCAGAAGGAAGGGAAAGGTGAAAAGACCAGGTGAGAGAGACTAAAAGCTCTCATGCAGAGCTCACACACGTTTACCAAAGTAACATGTCAGAACCAAAAAAGCTTCATTTCTAGCAGTTCCTTGCCTCCTTCTGAGATTCACCTGTTGCTGTGGGATACAAGTGAGCATCCCAAGCCCAAACATGGCCCTGTTGGCTGCAGACATCAGGCCAGAAAACTCTGAGCTCTGGCATGGGAGGGGCCATGGGGGTAATATTTGAGCTCCTGGAACCATTAAAAACTCAGGAGAAACCAGCCATGAGGGCTTGGACACCATCCTGAAGAGCATTTCCTTATTGTGGTCTGTGCAAATGGCCAGCAAAGAGGGGATGCTCCTGAAGGCCTGGCAGGTGTCAGAGTTCCCACCTGCATCAGGTATTGTCCACCCCTGCCTAGTACCTCTGTGCCCCTGATGGAAGAGGACGCTGGTAGCTTGTGTGATGTTTATTGGCTCCCCAAACCTGCTGGTCCAAGTTACAGTGGAGGGGGTGAAAAAAAAAACAAGGGATCTCTTGTGGGGGGAATACCATCTCTCATCTAGCACTCACTGCCTAGACACATTTTTATCTTTACAACTGAGGCCAAATTTATGGTGAAGGGGTCCTGGGTGTGTGTGTGTGTGGGGGGGTGGAATTTGGAAATGCATGAGAGCTACAGTTGGGTTGGCAGGTATCAGCCACACCAGAGCCCTCTTCTTGTGAGCTGGGGAGAGTGGGTAGCTAGTCCAATGCCTTCTGTCTCTCTCCCATTCCTTCAAAGTTTAAGAGAAGAACAGAGCTGTGGCCCAACACCAAGGAGGCCCCTCTGCTGTGGTCTTGCCCTGAGTTGGCAAACCTGAGTCCCATGGGAAGGAGACAGAAACAAACACTAGATACACCACTCTTTCAGCCCATCACTCAACTCTGGGTCCTCTTGGTTCCCAGGGAGCAGGAGAAGCTGAGACCTTAAGAGCTAAGATACACCTGATCAGCTATGTGACCATGTCCCAAGTGCCTCCTGGATGGGGGGGGGACTCTGGGGACACAGGATATGGTGATGGTCACCTATTATTATTGTACCCCCCCATCCCAGAAGACACACTGGGGTAGAGTCAATCCACCTGCATCTGTGGCAGGTGCCAGAGAGGCAACAATGAAAGGGATGCCAAGGAATTCTTTAGGCACATCTCAGGCATGGCTCAGGAGGCATGGAAAAGCAGAGTGTGGAATTTTCAGGAATGAATTGAGTGTTTAGAATTTTGTGTCCTTAAATGTCCTAAATAAGATAGACTTTTGGGACTGACATGTCACATTATTAAAACAAAGTGAAAAAACAACCCCGTGGGAATTGTGTTTATGGGTTTCTGTACTGAAAGGCTTATCTTTGAGGGTCCCCAATATAGTGCCAGGCCCGGGAAGCCCCAGGCCTTGCTTGCTGGTGGCTGAGGGCCCAGAGGCCAAGATGTGGGGCCAGGACATACTCCCAGCACGGGCTGTCTACTGGCGTCTGATTCTTTCTTGGGTCTCCTCAGTGTCAACACTCAGGCTTTCTTTCTTTCTTTCTTTTTTCTTTTTTTTTTTCAAAGAGAGTATGTGATGTGTGAACAGTGGAGATAGAGGGAGAGGAAGAGAAAATCTCAAGCAGGCTCCCTGTTCAGCGTGGAACTTGACACAGGGCTTGATACCATGACCCTGGAATCATGACCTGAGCTAAAATCAAGAGTCAGATGCTTAACCGACAGAGCCACCCAGGCACCCCAAATGCTCAGGCTTACTTGTTTGGCTGAGACTTTTCCTAGGGTGACAGCTTGGGCCTCAACTTCAGTAGGTGTGAACCAAAGCACATACCTCCTTTGAAATGCTATGGCCACAGGTTTGGTGACTGTTTTGTTTGGCCACACTCTTCATTCTCATATTGGATGTTTAAGCTGTGTCTTTAGGAACAAGTTACTCCCTACACGTGCACAAAGCCAAAATCTTTTTGCCAGTAATGTGCATAACATCTATGGAGCTCATTGGGAGATGCTGGGCTCACTTAATGACCTCTTGCTCTCAGTGTGATTTATTTATTTATTTATTTATTTATTTATTTATTTATTTATTTTTAGTGTTTATTTATTTTGAGAGAGAGAGAGAGAGAGAGAGAGAGAGCCTCTGAAGTGGGCTCTGCACTGCAGTAGCCAGCCTGATGCAGGGCTTGAGTTTACAAACCATGAGATCACGACCTGAACTGAAGTCGGATGCTCAACAAACTGAGCCACCCAGGCTCCCCTCAGTGTGACTTCTTGAAGTCAGGAATTAAATAGATACTTAGGTGGAAAAAATCCAAACCCAACTGCTTGAGGCTTCTGAGCCTGGTGAGTACAACAGCAGTGGTTCAGGGTCTCCCAAGTCACATGCCTCCTACAAAGGCTGGCTGAGCAGGGAGTCCTCTCTCCAGGACTGCCTGCAATGAGGAAGGGAAAACACTGGTGACCTTCATGCCTCTACCTGCAAAATGCATGCAAGGCTGTGTAAACTTTCCCCCAAATATCTGGCAGGGGTCCAGCCAGGCCTCACAACTCTGTGTCCTCACAACTCTCAAGTCCTTGAGGAGAATGTAGTGTCTGAAGGCAGGAGTCTTTGTGTTTCCCCAGCCTGGGGTTACCACGTGCTCCCTCAAACCACTTCCCACGCTGGGTGGCCGGGAGCTCAAGGTGACCACTGGGGAGGGGAAGGGGCAGCACTTACCCCCCGCCTGTGCCACCGTTCTTGCTGAAGTGCGTGCGTGGCTCGCTGGATGCCAATTTCAGTAGCTCAGTCCACTCCCGCTCCCATTCCTCCTCGGTGTACACCAGCCCTGACTGGCACAATGGAAGCCGGCTCAGGAGGTGGTGGGCCAGCCTCCTCACCCGCCCCCCACTCCAGGTGAGCCTGGCGGCCCTGCTGGACCCCTGGTTCAGTCCAAGCCCAACCAACACCCAGGCTGGGCACCACCTGCTAGTGGCCACCGACTGTCCCGTATGCTATCGACAATATTTCTTCAGAATGCCCAGTCTCCAATTTCAATGCTGTTGGGGGTCCACCCAGAAACAAGGGTCATTCCCAGGGGGTAAGAATGACAAAACACAATCTACACACACACCAGGCTTGGGGTTGACCATTAAAAAGTTTAAAGGGATGATGGGCCAAGTTCAATCAGAGAGCAGGCAGATTCTTCTTCTAGGACAGCAAAGTGCTAATGTCCCTCATCATCAGGAGGACTGGGATTCTCTCTGGATCAAGTACAAGAGCTGGGGCTGTAGATTGTGCCAGGACCACCCTGTGGCTACACCTGGCCTTCAAGCCACCACCAGTAGTGACCAGACATAGGTGACTGCATAATTCATCATCCAAGCCAGGACACCTTTTGAGAGTGAAGGTGGTTGGTTTTCATAACTATGCAAGGACAGGCGGTGAGAGTGGACATGTTGTCACTGTGTGTGTGCCAGGGTCTGAGCTTTTGTAATGGGCACCTCTTCAGTGGGTTTAAATGGGGAAGGCTTTACTACTCCCAGAAGCCATTGCTGCCTGACCTCACAAGACGGACGTGGCCTTGGGGCACAGCTCTGGACTCCACCATGGCCCATGGCTGTGTTTGGTGTGGGTCCCAGGCTCTGGACATCCCAGCAGATACCAACCTCCTTGTTCTGCTGTGTCTGCTGCCACCTCCACCTTCGCTTTAGGGCTTCCCTTTCAGCCCCTGTCCTCATCATGGTGTAGAGAGCTTTCCGCAAAACCAGGTCCCGGTCGTGAAACCCCCACATTCCTGCAGTAGGAGGCCCATGAGGAGCAGAGGAGAGAGACAGGATGTGAGGAGGGGGACAAGTCAGTAGGTAACTCAGACTGCCACAACTTACCAGACCTGGCCTCCTGCATCTGCACACAAAGATAACTCATTAGTTAGCCTTCAATTCCCCTGATTAGCTAGCAATTTCCCTCTTGTGTCTTTCCCCATTTCCCCTTGAAGCAGGTTGGTAAATGAAAGAGGATGTGCCCTTCTCAGAGAAACAACAGTGGGTGAAACCAAATGCTGCCTCTTTCTGGGACCCTTGGCAAGACACTTTGAATTTCACAGGTTTGTTTTGAGGGACCTCATGTTCACCATCCAGCTCTTGTGTTTGAATGAGAGATAGCCTCTGTGGATAAACTGGTGATGTGTCTTCACATGGGGTCTCGAGCCAGGATGGCAATCAGACCCTGGTTTCATCTAGGGTCTGCCACATCTGATGTCTCTGCCCTAAGGCATCTCAGCCTCCTGAGAAGCAGAGCATCAGTGGACACCACTGCAAACATCTGGACCTAAGAGAAAGTACCTGCTTTTGAGGTAGAAGGTCTTTCTCCCTCACCCCTTCCCTGGCCTTTGCTGGGTGTTAAGGGATTATAAGGAAAACCAACCATTTCTGAGTACATTCTTGGGGCAGGTCAGATGTGGTCAAGAGACTCAACAAATGAAACAAACAGTAATGAGAGGTGAGGCTCTTGCTGTGGGGAAAGAGTGGGGGAATCTATCCATCCATCCATCCATCTATCCATCCATGCATCCATATCCATCCATTTAATTAAATGGCATTAATTCTACTTAATTAATTCTGAACTCATTTCATAAAAGGGGTGAGACACCATTCTGGTCATTGGCAATACCCACAGCAGCAATCAGGACAGACTAAGTTCCTAAAATCTCACAGAGCACACACTGGGGGAAGGTGGAGCAGCCATTGAATTAGCACATAACAAACCACCTCAGGGGCAGCGGCACCATAAGGGGAGATGAAGCAGGCCAACGGGATGCTGGTTGGCATTGGTCATGGTGTGAATGGAGACATCAGAGCATAGACTCGAGTGGGTATAGGAGGGAGCTGGGTTGCCATTCCAGGCAGAGGGACAGGCCAGGCACCAGCCCCAAGGGGCGCCCACGTGGAATACTTGAGAAACGGCAAGAGGGAAAGGTGGCTGGGGGAAGAATCAAGCAGACAAGGTGAAGAGTGAAAAGGTGGACTTTTTAAGTGAGCTGAGGGCCCCTGGAGAGCTTTCATAAGAGGAGTGACCTGCACTGACCTAATCTTTAAAGGCTCAATCTGGCCATGCATCCTTTAGTGCAAAGGTATGCAATAACCAGGGGCTGCTACGGGCTTTCCATCAAGAGAGGCTTTTGTCTTTTTCTACAACATAGACGGAGGGCAGTGGCCATTAATGCTCCTGTTATAAACAGGCCAAGCTGATCTTACTCATCCCTCAGACCTGCCTGTAGTCGCCTCTCAGGACTCTCCCAGGTAGGGCAAGTCCAGTCTCAGCTGGACTCCACGGCTCCTTGTTCAGGTCTCTCTTGCAAAGAGGGTCTCTCTGCCCCATGGATGTTTGCTTACGAGTCTGGCTTTAGGATTGCTGTCATTTCTGTGTGTGCCCCCCAACCCTAGGTCAGTGTCAGGCCTGGTCTGCAGGTTTAATAAGCACTGCTGGTCAGTGTTGTGTGGCTGCTTTGGGCAGTGCTGCCCCTCCCTGTGGGGTTTAGCAATTGGAGTACAAAAGGAAAACAAGGTACCAGGAGAAAAGAACCAATTGGCCATGAGCCCCAGACTCAGCCACGGCCCAGCCTCTTCAGCAGCTGGAACAAGGCTGGCCATGGGAGGCTTTCTCTTCCTAGGCAGACAGGAGGCCCACTGTGCTCACTGAGAAAACGTCTGCCCTTAGACCAGACCACAGTGGCATGTGACCTGGTTTGTGTCTTTGCCCACCTGTAGTGCTGAGAGGAGCAGTGCCTCTGCACACTTCAGTTTCTGAGGGCCAAAGGCATTTCCTTTGTAATGAGGCAGTTGTTTGACAAAGATGAGAGATTTCTTTTGTGTTCTTTCAAGATTTTACACACAACAAAGTGAAGAAATGTGTTCCACAGCAGGGGAATAGTTAATACATTATGATGAAATATGACACAACTACCAAAACATAAGAAATTCACAATATGATTTTAAGGGAAAAATGCTGGATTCCAAACTGTGAACACTGTGAGATCATAATTTCACTGGAAGAAGAGACAAAATACACCAAAACATTAAAAGTGGCCCTTTCTGGGTGGTAGAATTGTTGATTTTTATTTTCTTACTGTGACGAATGTGGAATACTTTTATAATGCCCACAAACAGAAATGTGTTCTCTCTGAAATGGAAAGGAAGCAGGTAGGTGGGAGCCTTTGTGTCCCCCATCACCCCTGGCCAAGCCTGTGGAATGTGGCCCCTTGCTCTGGGGCTCCATTCTCCTCAGAGGCTCTCAGGCCCCTTTGCAGACCCAATGCATTTCCCTCTGTGGGTTTTAGGCATCTCACTTCTGTCCACTTGTTGCTGGAAAGGCCTCACCACAGGGCCAAAGAGAGGTTTGGGGTCCAGCCCTTGCTCTGGGTCATAGGATCAACTGTATTTACCTGGGGAGGGGAGTTTGACCAACAAGGAATATTCCAATATGCCAACTAAGAATATTCTCATTTGAAAGTCCCATCTATGGAGAGATCCTTCATTATAGGACTGAGGAGGACAGACAGCTCTTGATGCCTGGGTCCCTGGCACAAATCCAGGCCTGTCTGTTAAAACTGATCTGGCTTTATGTGTATAAGGCTGGGTCTGGAAGGGGTGCTTGAGCTTCCAGAAAGTCTACCATGGGCCCTCAGTTATTCAAATAGTGCCACTCATGCCTGTGCACCTGCTGGGATGGCTTTTTGCAACCAGGAAGCACACAACTCTGCTGAAGGTTGCTGACCTCTCTGCTTTATATTCCAATTACATAGATTCCCCTGTGATTTCCCCCAAATGATATCTACGTCTTTTTGTCAGTCCATGTGCATGGACTGCTGTCAGTGTGGTGGCTCTGTACCTACCCAACCTAATGTACTGCTCCCCAAACTTCCTGCTCAAGTCCAACCAAGCTCAGACCTGCTTCCAAACATCCTGTTAATTCCTGCCTTCATGGTTTTCCATGCAGTCTCCCTACCTGAAGTGTCCTTTTTTGTATTATTTCAAGTCCTTCAAATCTCAGTAAAATCCTGCCTCCTCCAGGAAGTCCTCTTTTATTGCTCTAGGTCATGAGGTCTAATCCCCATCACTGCAGCTCATGATTAAGCCTCTTTCTTTTATATTAGGTCTTTTCTCATGTGTGCTCTGTGTTCTCACCAAGCCTGCCAACTACTTGACAAGAAGGGCTGAATTGTTGCCTCCATCCCTTGGGGACTCTTCCAGCTGAGTGATGTGCATGGCTCTACTTAGCATAGGTCTGTCCTTTAACAATGATCAGAGCAGGCCTGGGGTGCTGCCACCCTCTGTCTCTGTTGTAGAGCTTACCCAGAGAGGCGGCGTGTAAAAGGCAGTTCCCATCTCCTGTAGTGGCCAAAGGAAGAAGCCGTTTACAGCTCGTGCACACGGTGGACCACCAGTTCAGGCGACCTGAAACAGAAGCTCACTTTAGAAGAGAATCCCAGAATAGACCATTTGAATGTTTGCTAAGTAAACATAGACATCAGCAGATGATTTTTGAGAGGGTTCTAGAAAACTTCAGTGGGAAAGTAGAACATTATGGCTATTTTCTCTTTAAGATAAGAAACGGTCAAATCCTCCCATCAATTAGCAAGAGGATTAAGACACTCCAGGGCAAAGCCTTTTCTCCTTGAATTTGGGAACATTTTATACACACACACACACACATACACACACACACACTTTCTCTGTGTGTAATTTCCTTGAACACAATTTCCCTTTCTGAAAGTTATTCTTTTCTCTTATACCATCCTTTTTTGATGCATACATACCTCCAAAAGTATGGTTTACATTTAATTTAACATATCCAAACCATTATAGCTACTTAGGTATATTCCTGTTAAATCTCATTAACACATCCAGAGACTTCTGCTTCCAGGAAGATGGAGTAGACATACTTTCTCCTATTCCTTATCTTAAGTACAACTAAAAATCATGGACATCATGTGTAAAATAACACAGGAAGACTTAAAAGTGGAGGAAGGGGCAGATTGACCGGGAAACTTGGGATCTGAGAAGCAACATGGTGGTAGGTTCTCTGGAGTTTCTTTTTGCCCCCAAATCCCAGACCAGGTACTGGAGAAGTTGGCAACCTGGAGACACCAGTGGGGGCAAAGGAATCACACTCTCTCTAGACAGTATTCAAGGAAAGGGGCAGCTTAGGAATACAGACAGTAACTGCTCTATTTCAGTCAAGTGCCACAGAAGAAACTATACCTCATCATCATCTCTGCCAGCAAAGGGCAAGAGGGGAGATGAAACTTCCAGCCTTAAGAGACATAATGAGCTACTCACCACCCGTTCCCCCAGTGCCAGATGGTGTCAGAGAATGTTGAAAGCATTGCCAGCAACTCAGCCCTGCTGGGTGATAATATGGACTCCACCCCCCACCAACTGAGAACATATGGAGAACTTGGCCTTTCACACCTCTCTGGTGGCAATGAAGTCCCTCTGCTCCCTCCCAGCAGTACAAGAAGCCCATGCCTTCACAGGCGTCAACAGAGGCAGAGTGGAGAACCTGTGCTTCTACCCTATTCTGGCAGTTATTACCAATCTACAACTCCAGACATCAGATGAACAGAAAAGGAGAACCCATCCGACCTGCGGTAAAGAATACTAAAGGGATACAGTAGAGAATACTGCAGGGTGCAAAGAAGGAATAAATGGGCTTTAAAAGGCATGTATGTTGGTAAATGTAAATAAATATTAGCTGTTTAAAGCAATATCATAAATGCCTTTTTGAGGATTAAAGTATATGTAGAATTAAAGCACATGACAGCAATAACACAAAATACGGAAATGTGTAATAAATGACATAAATCCTAAGACCCTTACACTGACCACCAGGAAGTGGTAAAAGGGCCAACTTAAAGTAATTCTAATAGCTTGACAGTGGGCTTTGGAAACTATAGGGTAACCACTACAAGAATAATAAAAGAATGTATAACTGACAAGCAAGTAGTGGGGAAACCATAATAATAAATATTCTTAAATAATTCAAAAGAATATTAGAGAGAAGAAAAAGGAGACACAATAAAACACAACATAATAAACAGCAAGATAATGGATTTGAACCAAAATATATCTGTATTTATATTAAATGTGAGTGAGCTAAATACTCCAATTAAAAGATACTGTCAACCTTGTTTAAAAAAACAAGTATATGCTGCTGACAAAAGACACCATAAACATAATGACACAGAAATGTAACAGTAACTAGGTAGAGAAAGATACAACATTCAAAAACTAGGCAAAGGGGCTCTTGGGTGGCTCAGCTGGTTAAGTGTCTGAGTCTTGATTTCGGCTCAAGGTCATGCTCTCGTGGTTCATAAGATTGAGTCCCACATCAGGCTTTGCCCTGACATCATGGAGCCTGCTTGGGATTCTCTCTCTCCTTCTCTCTCTACCCCTTCCCCCTCAAGCTTTCACTCCATCTCTCAAAATAAATAAATTTAAAAAAAAACTTTGAAAAATCAAAAAAAAAAAGCAAAAATAAAGCTAGTGAAGTCCTATTGATATCAGATGTAGGTGACATTATTAAGGCACAGGATAAATTGATATTTCATAAATATGGCACAATAAAGTCAAATGGAAAATATAACAACACTTAATGTGTATATACCTAAGACTTAGTCTAAAATATATATAAAGCAAAAATTGATAGACTCAAGAGAGAAATAAACAAACCCCAAAGTCAAAACTGGAGGTTTTTAACCAAATTCTCTTGATAAATGATAGACTCAACAAACAAAAACTTCAGTAGAGATTAAATAGAATTCAAGAATTTGACATGTATATAACTTTACATGTATATAACACTTCACCCACAGACTGCAAAATAATTACACTTTTTTTTTTCAAGTCACATGGAATATTTTCCAATATTGACCACATATTGGGCTATAAAAAAGTGTCAACAAATTTCAAAGGATTTGCAATCATTCATAGTATGTGCTCTGGTCGTAATAAAAATAGGTTAGAAATCAATGAGAAAATCAAGAAAAGTAGCCATCTTGGGCTGCTATAACAAAATACCACAGACTGGGTAGCTTAAAAAACAGACACTTATTTCTCACAGTTGTAGAGGCTGAAAGTCCCAGACTGAAGTGCTGGCTGATGTGGTTCCTGATGAGAACCCTCTTCCAGGTTTTCAGGTGGCAGACTTCTTGCTGTGTCCTCTCATGGTGGACAGTGAGCTCTGATCTTTTCCTCCTTTTGTAAGGACACTAATCCCATTATGGGGGCCCCATCTTCATGGCCTTATCTAAACTTAATTACCTTTCAAAGGCCCTACTGCCAAATACCATCACACTAGGGATCAGGGTTCCAATATAGGGATTTACGGGGGACAAAAACATTCAGTCAATAGAAGTACCCAATAAGGCAGTTTGTTCACTGAATGTGGCTGTCCCCCAAGGGGACTACCCTTTCAACTGCTTTCTAGGTAATGAGCAAGATGAACAGTATAGTAGTTATATAGACCTGTTTTGAAAATTCAATTCCTCCCTGGCCATTTATGGCTATGTTGCTTCTTTTTTTTCTGTAGTGGAAACCCTATGCTTGTCTGTCTGGCACACCCTCTGGGTGGAAGTTTAGCCAAAAGGGAACCTAGGGGATTCATACTTAGTTATGATTCAGTTTTATAAAAATACTTTGTCCTTCTTATGGCTAACCTTTGTGGATGAGAGGTACAGTTGTGATTAGGAAGAGATTGAAAAAGAAATAGGTAAGTTACAGGCATTGTGATGGCATATGCCAATCTTGTGATAGAGGGGAGAAGCAACACTCCAACACTGCAGAATGTGTAGGGGAGGGAAGTACATTGATCATGTTTTACTTCTTAGGACCACCTTGTAGGTCTCCACATGAAGAAAAATGCTCCTGTGGGATATCCCAGATGTTGCACATGCCTCAAATATAGCAGAATCTTTCTCCTGTGACTGAGAAGTCTCAGGGTTTCTGCCAGCATCCATGAAGCCATGGAAAGCTAATTTATTAGCTTTCAAGTAAAACTTTGGACATCTCACAGTTATTGACAAAAAACATAGGCCTCATAAAATACAAAGTTTACTATCCATCAGGGGAGGAAGGTCCCACAAAATACAATAGGATGGGTTGAAAATATTAGAAGAACAGGAATGAACACAAAGTAGCCTGAGCCTTACCAGGACTGAAACCCGGCCTCAACTCATCGTTCTGTGACCAGAGTAAGGTAATCAGCCACAGAAGGTGAAGGGTGAGCCCTTTCTACAGGAGGACAACATCATTTTGAGTCTCTGAAATTTTATATTCACAAGGTCTATAAGGCAAGCAAAAAATTACTAGGTATGCCAAATCAAACAAAAACAAAAAACAAAAACCAACCAAACAATAAATCCCAAGAGTAACTGACTGAAAACCAAAAGGGAAAAATGGGGTAAGAGAAAAAGGCAAACAGATTATCCACATTTTGAAGTTATCTGACAGAGACTTTAAGTCACTATAATTAGTATGTTCAAGAAAATAGAAAAAATGAGGCAGAAGCAATATTTGAATAGATAATCATCAAGCATTCTCTAAAATTGATTAAAGACACAATTTTTAGAGGGTCTGTAAATTCCAAAAAGAATAAATACAAAGTAAATGGCATATAGTGAAAATTAGAAAATTAGAGAGAAACTCTTAAAAGCAGAGGAAAAAGAGAACTATTACATACCTAGAGGAATAGCGATATAAGCTTACACAGAGTGGAATGAGAACATCAAAGTGCCAAAAGAAAATAACTTCCAATCTAGAGTTCTATACCCAGCAAAACTATCCTTAAACGCTGAAATTGCCAGGAATGTAAGGTAACTTCCTCAATCTGGTATAGGTCACCTATGAAAAGCCTGCAGCTAACAGGATACTTAATAGTAAGATATTGGATGCTTTCAACCTCAGATGGGGAACAGTACTCAATATTGATGATGGTCTGAACCTGTGCAATAAGGTAAGATGTTATGATAGAAAAGAAATGAATGGAACTGCACTTATCAGTAGATTACATAATTGTTTATATAGAAAATACTTAGTAATCTACCAAAACACTCCTAAGCCTAATAAGGGAACTTATATTTAGCAAGATCTCAGGAAGCAAGGTTATCTACAGGTATCATTTATATTTCTATTAAGTAGCAATATATGATTTAGAAAATGAAATAAAAAATGTAATACTTAGACATAACTCTCATGAAAAATGTTATATCTAGACTGAAAATTATAAAAATATAATACATTCCTGAGAAAATGTAAAGATTTAAATAAGTGGAGAGGGTAATTGTGCACATAGACTGAACTCCTTAATGATTCTGCATTCTCTCCAAGTTGATCTATAGATTTAACATAACCCCATGCAAAACTCCAGAAGCTACTTTTTAGAAGTTGACAACTTG